TCTCTGAAGCAACATTGATTTTGTGTATAGCTAAAACACACATGAATTCTGGGCTTTATTTGTCTACATATTATGGCACTACTTTCGTTGTAAGCTTATCTTGGCGTGCCAACTAATACAAATCAGTTATTAATCCGGGTCGGTCACACGGGGCACAGAGTTACCCCAGACTCAAGAAATCCTTAATCCTGTGAAAACTGTATAATTGTTACCAATGACCTTATCAGTATCCTTCTATATGACAGTCTTCGGAGAAACTAAAATATATTTGTTACCTATCTCCCAATTTTTGGAAATGACAAACGTTTTCTTACAACCATAATGTACTCGGGGATGATTCAGTTCCCTGCGCGACCACTTTTGTTTCAAAGTATTGTTTATGAACAGGCTACATTTTTCCCCTGTGAAAGACTTGATGTTTTTGACGGCTGTGTTGTACAACTCATTATCATTTATAAATGAAAATGAATAGAAAAAAAATGTGTATCTACGATATTTTTTGGATGAAACTGATCAAGCAAGGGAAGAACTTGTGGCGGTGTGATATCTATATGAACTAGTACCAACATCACGCGGAGACGATCGTTTTGGCGTGATCGGTAAAGTTTTCGCATTCGTTCGGAACGGAAGGTACCCATAACGAACCTTCCTTCCTTCATTGGTAACCCTGGCCGTGAATTGAACCGCATCCTTCGCGCGCCGTAGCCATGGTGCCATCTATCCACCGCAAAGCAACCAAATTCGTCAAACATTGACGCAAATAAACCGATACTTCTCAAAAGCCGTCTCACACAAATGACACAATTCTCAAGCCATCACGCACAAATGACGCAACCTACCAAGTGACGCAACTGCTTACATGCTCGTCACAAATATGGTATCGTTCGATCACCTATTCGCCCAAACACTGGCAGGGGAGTATGTGGTGGTGTGTTATATATATAACTAGTACTAACATCACGCGAAGATGATCGTTTTGGCGTGATCGGTAAAGTACTCGCATTCGTTCGGAACGGAAGGTACCCAGAACGAAGCTACCTTCCTTCAAACTTGATGAAATAATGCATATTAATCACATGTTATAGCAAAAGTAAATTTCATAAAAGCGATGCGCATGAAACGTCGGAGTTGAAAGGAAACTTTACAATGCTTCCATCAAGAAAGATATAAAGTGACAAGTATACTACAAGACACAAGCAAGAAAAAGTTAAACATGCATTTGGCAATCATTAAAGGCTAATAAAAACACAATAACTTGAACAAATGATATTTTTGCCTGAAAATATCACTCTTGAAATGTTACCGAATGTATGACTGTGATTTATATTCTTTATTAAAATCACGCACATTTGAAACATTTTACTTCAGTTTGATTGGATTTCTCAAACTTTTAAAGTAAAATTTGAAAGTCCTTAATCTCAGGTAAGTATACATTCTCTTACTCAAATGAATCAATGGAATTGCAATTATTATCGATTTTATTAAATATAATTTAAAAAAAAAGATTGGGGGTGACTCACAGTCACCCCGCGTCACCACTAACGTTCGTATCGAGTGCGTGCACTTCTTTCGGGTTAAATTAAAAGGATTTTATTTGTTCCATTTTTCTTTGGATATATGTTAAAAATTATGTATTAACATAGACCTAAATATGAATGATATAATATGTATTTTACATCTCCTATATAATTTTTTATACACTAATTTGAATTAAAAATATTTTCCTCGCATGGCACATGAAGGAGAAAACATTGACTATAACTTGACCTCGTTCTAAAAAAGTTGACTTTGTTGCTAAAAAAACACGAATTTTAGAATTTAGTTTTCTAAATACGAGAGAGAGAGAGAAATAAGGACATTATTTTCAAGAGAAAATTATTTTGGTAAAAAAACCTAGCAAATATCAATTACTGAATTATAATGATTATTCATATTGTTTCGCTTTGTATGCATCCTAAAAATGTATTAATGCAGAACTAAATTGGTTATGATATGTATCAATTATAACTTTAAAGATACCTGTGAAAAATTATTTTCGGACACAAATGAGGGAGGTAACTAAGATTATCCACAATTTGTCCAGTGTAAAACAGCATTGACCTTGTAGCTAATAAAAACATGATTTCTAGAATTTATTTTTCTTTATATCATTTCCCTATTTTTATGGCAAATTTATCTTGCCAAACAAATTCTGCTTCACTTTTTATGCATTTTGAAGAGAATCCGTATTGATATAAAACAAAATGAGGTATGATATGTGTCCGATATTGTCTAAATCAAGGGTGTCCAACACGTGACCCGCCATTTTTTTTTTTAAAAAAAAAACTTTAAACATCAGATTTTTAAAGTTTTTTTTCATTTTGAAATTTATTTGGGGGAAAATTTATATATATATATATATATATATATATATATATATATATATATATATATATATATATATATATATATATACATTGCCTTTACCTGCTTTACCTGTTCTTGTTTTAAAATAAATCCCTTTTGGTAATAGAAATTATCTTCAGAAAAAAATAGATTTATATTTTATCAAACAGTTATACATTTGATTTTACTATAGTAAATGGCTTTTTTAAATAAATTTCTAATTGCATTATTCCTTTACATTGGACAGAACATGATTCTCTGTGTGTGTGCGACTTTCATTTCTCCTCGTTTTCTGTTTGGAGTGCCCAAAAACCAAGAGGCAGTCAGATATGTTTTTTTAAAGTTTAAAAAAATATTCAGGACGGTTAAGATAAAGAAAACGTGTACTTAATAGTTTGCACTATCAAATTTCAACAATGAGTAACGAAAGATCAATTCAATAGAACACCGTCATTTTCAAGAAACTGGCATCTGTGTAATATTTTAAACATTATTTGATCAATGCATTATTTTTTTAAATATTATTATATTATCTATGTCTGCATGTATGAAAAATGTTTAAAACAATAGTAATAATTTATTTTGTTTTAAATCTTCTCTCCAATAAATGTTTTTTTTTTGTTTCCAAATCTTATATAAAGGTACATACTTTTATGGGCGGCCCGCGAGATTATGTTTTTCCGAAGTGGCGCACAAGGTTATTTGGGTTGGACACCCCTCGTCTAAATGATATACTCAAACTAAAATTAGTATTTTTTTTTTGACAGATGAAGAAAAACATTAACATTATCGATAATTTGATATATTTAAGATTGTTGAATTTTGTAGGTAGATTGTCTCGACGTATGTATTTTATTTTTATACATAACATGACACTATTTACACGATATATTTATCTGCTGAAACCTTTTTCAAGACCATGAGTAAAATTTTAAAAATTAAAATATCAATTTCAACCTGATTGCACTGTTATTCAACATGAACATACTGATTAGCATGTTGAAGTACAATATGTTAATAGGGTTTGATTTTAGTTAGTTAAATTTACAGTTTTAGAAAAACGAATTAGTATTAATTCAGATTAAATTTATAACCTTATTCATATTCATTGAAAACCCTATTAAAAACAGATTTAAGATTTCGTAAAAAAATTAAAATCAAAGATATTAATGATAATAAAAAATACTTAAAATTATACAATTCTTCTAGGGGAAATTTGATAAATATTAGTTTTATATTTACACCTATAAACGTTGTGTGTATGTAGATCTCACTAAGAAAAAAAATGTAAAATGTTGACAGATTATAAAATGACTTCTTTTTTTAAAAAAAAAAACCCATTTTTCTTGGATTTCTGAGAGTTACAAGACTGAAAAGTAGAGTCTAGAATAACAAGTCAACTCAAAATAGAAATCAATAAATAAATTGGAACAAAGAAAAAACTCTACATCATATATTAAATATGTCTCAAGGAAATTAATTTATTTGAAAGTTGTCCAAGCGTTGAAGTAATAAAAATTAATCCATTTTTATTTAAAGAGGGAAAATTAAAAATATAAAATTTATGCAAATATATAATAACAAATCTAATAATTTTTTTCAATTACGTAGATCAGTGATTCTCAAAATTTTTATTCTTGCGAACCAATTTTCAATCATAATTTTACTTGCGCCCCGTATAATAACAATGCATTAAATTCAATAATATACTTTGACGTAAAGATACAATGCTAATCTAAATATAAACCATACAAATTATCAAGATAAATGTTAAATTTTGTATTTATTTTATGATATGACCATAGCATCACTGGTAATTATTAGACATTTTCTTAACTTAGTACTGTTGAATTAATTATGAAACACATTGTGCATTAATAATACATTAATAAGTGTATTATATCGATGTAAATGTGTATTTTATTTTTAATTATGTCAGAACACATTTTTTTTGCTTGCTTTAAGTAAAAACTAATATTTTTTGTAAAAAAAAATAATCTTTTATTTTCGACTTACAAATAAGCTCACGCCCCCTTGTAGGGTTATGACGCCGCCTAGAGAGGCGCACCCCACAGTTTGAGAAACACAGCCTTACCAACTATTCGATACGCAAACATACAATGTATTGCAGGTTAATATTTATGTACGTTATTAATATTATTTAAGAAATAAATTTCTGTCGCCGTGATCCTACAGTGGTTAGTACATTGCATTGTGGCCGCAATAACCCAGGTTCGAAACCTGGTAACGGCAAATGTTTGCTTTTTGAAATTTTAAACATGTAGGAGAATTTTTCCTAGTTCATCACCTTACCAACTATTCGATAAGCAACCCCATCCAAAGTATTGCATTTTAATATTATGTACGTTAATATTATTTAAGAAAGGAACTTATGTCGCCGTGATCCTATAGTGGTTAGTACATTGCGTTCTAGCTGCAATAACCCAGGTTCGAATCCTGGCCACGGCAAATGTTTGCTTTTTGATATTTTAAACATGTGGGAGAAATTTTCCTAGTTCATCCTTTTACCAAATATTCGATTCGCAAACATCCAATGTATTGCAGTTTAATATATATGAACGTTATTAATATTATTTAAGAAATAAATTTCTGTCACCCTGATCGTAAAGTGGTTAGTACATTTTGTTGTGAACGCAATAACCCAGATTCGAGTCCTGGTCATGGCAAATGTTTGCTTTTTGAAAATTTAAACATGTAAGAGAAATTTTCCTAGTTCATCCCCTTACCAACAACTTGATTCGCAAACATCCGATGTATTGCAGCTTAATATGTTTGTACGTTATTAGTAAAGGGTGTTTTTTTGAGAGGTATAGAACTTTAAATTGCAATAAAACAACGATTGACAAGAATTGTTTTTTATTCGAAAGATAATCTTGTTTCATTACATTTTAAATATGATTTCTGGCATAGGACTCCCACGACTGGCTCGGATGTAGTCCAATCCGGACGTCCAATTTTCGATGACTTTTTCCAACATTTGTGGCCGTATATCGGCAATAACACGGCGAATGTTGTCTTTCAAATGGTCAAGCGTTTCTGGCTTATCCGCATAGACCAATGACTGTACATAATCCCACAGAAAATAATCTATCGGTGTTAAATTACAAGATCTTGGAGGTCAATTCACAGGTCTAAAACGTGAAATTAGGTGGTCACCCAACGTGTCTTTCAATAAGTCGATTGTGGCACGAGCTGTGTGACATGTTGCGCCGTCTTGTTGGAACCACAGCTCCTGGACATCATAACTGTTAAATTGAGGAATGAAAAAGTTAGTAATCATGGCTCTATACGGATCACCATTGACTGTAACGTTGTGGCCTTCATCGTTTTTGAAGAAGGATTCCACCAGCCTATAAAGCGCACCAAACAGTCAGTTTTTCTGGATGTAACGGTGTTTCGACATACACTTGTGGATTAGCTTCACTCCAAATTCGGCAGTTTTGTTTGTTGACGTAATCATTCAACCAGAAGTGCGCTTCATCGCTAAACAAAATTCGGCATTATTTTCGAAATAAAATTGCACAATTTGAAAGCGTTGTTCAGGCGTGAGTCTATTCATGATGAATTGCCAAACTAAACTGAGAATAAATCACTTGACAGCTGTTAAATCGGTCGCCATCCTGGAAAGTAATGCCAACTTAAACTTCTATACCTGGAAAAAAACACTCTGTATTATTAAAGAAATAAATCTATGTGGCCGCGATTGTACAGTGCTAAGCACATTGTTTTGTGGCCGCAATGTCCCTGGCTCAAGTCCTGGTCATTACAAATGTTTGCTTTTTGAAATTTTAAACATGTAGTAGAAATTTTCCTAGTTTATCACCTTACCAACTATTCGATTCGCAAACATCCAATGTATTGCAGTTTAATATTTATATACGTTATTAATATTATTTAAGAGATTAATTTCTGTCGCCGAGTTTGTATAGTGGTTAGTACATTGCGTTGGTGCCGCAATAAAACCAAGATCGAGTCCTGGTCATGGGAAATATTTGCTTTTTGAAATTTTCCTAGTTCAACACTTTACCTCAGTGCTTCTCAAACTTTCTATACTTGCGACCCAATTTTCATTCATAATTTTTCTCGTGTCCCCCTCCATGTAATAGCAATGTATTAAATGCAATAATTATATACTTTGACATAAATCTACGATGCTAAAATAATTATAAACCTTACAAATTATCAAGATAAATGTTAAATTTTGTATTTAATGTTATGATATGACCACACATAAGACTCTTTCTTAACTTAGTATTGCTATTATGAAGCACATTGCGCACTACTGATACGTTTATAAGTGTATTATATCGATGTAAATGTGTAATTTATATTTTATTATTCAGAACTCAATTTTTTGCTTGCTTTCAATAATTTAATAATTTTTTTTTCAAAAAATAGTCTCTTAATTTCGACTTTCTGATCAGCTCGTGCGATCCTTGTAGTGTTATCACGCCTCCTAGGGTGGTGCGCCCCACTGTTTGAGAAACACTCACGAAGATGGTAACTTACACTGGCGTGCAAAAATTAAGGACGAGACGGCTTTTTCAATATAACTTTGTACAAAAGCTTTCCTAATCAACACATTTAATACCGTAAGATCCCCAATACGTAAGGACATGTGTAATATGTAAGTAACACTTACTAAAAGAGAAATCAGAGGGATAAAAAGAAGCTTGATATTGAAAAAGTAGCATGGAGCGCAATGCGACAGAAGGCCGAAACATCCCTGTGATGGGTGTCCAGCAAGAAACATCCGCTCTTTAGTAGGGGATATGATCTCCCCTGACTGCTAAGCAGGTTTCATAGCGTCTACCCATGCTGAGAATGAGGGTGTCAATGAGTTGTTGAGGCATTGCTGCCATTCGTCTTGCAGCGCAAATCGAAGCTCCCGAATTGTTACTGGTGGTAAGGTACGAGCTGCCAAGCGTCTGCCTAGAAAATCCATACATGCTCGTTGGGATTGTGATCCGGAGATCATGCCGGCCAATCCATACGTTCAATATCCTCACTCTCTAAGAGCTGTCTAAGAGAGAAGAATCTAAGAGAGAAGAATCTCGTTACAATAACGGGTGCCGTTGACTGAACCTGCGTCTAAGATGTGAAGGTCTGTACGACTACCAAGCATGATGCCTCCCCAAACGAGAACACCGCGACCTCCATACATGTCCCTTTCAATGATTTTCGAGGGATGATTGCGGCTTCCCCGCTCTCTCCAGATGAGTATGCGATAAGAATCGCTACTCAAACTGAATCTGCTCTCATCTGTAAAGAGTATTCGTCCCCATTCATTGGCTCTCCAATTCCGGTGTTCCCGGCACCACAGAGAACGCCTTCTACGATGGGCAGGCGTTAAAGGTACACACCGTACAGGGCGTCGTGCAAACAGACCACCACCGTGCAGTCTTCTGGCCACGGTAAAACGCGATATCAGTCGTCCAGTCGCCTGTGTCGTGTGTCTAGCGATTTCTCCCGCTGTCTGCCGCCTGTTTCTTCTGGCCTGTAAGACAATGTACCGGTCATCTGCGGGTGTCGTTCCTCGTGGACGACCACTACTGAACCCCCGGATAGCTGTTTCTGTAGTTTGAAATTGTCTCCAAAGTCATGAAACGATGCTGTGAGCAATTCCGAACTTTTCAGCCACACTTGTCACATTGCGGCCTTCCTCCAACTTCCGAATGATTCGCCCTCGGGTAAAAGCATCCAGATGTCGTCTAACAGATTGATTATTCGCCATTTCTCGCTGAGGCAGCAACTCGGTGTGATTTTAACTGCTATACGGCGTGCAATCTCTTTGCCAGAAATACTGATCTTACACCGACAACATGCTTTATACTACTCAGACACTCCCCCATTACGTCTGTCTACCTGCATATCTGTGCATGTGCTACCGTACATCTCCTTACTTAATCTCCTGATTGGTCTTTCTGTCCACTCTGCCTCTTCGTTCAGCTGATATGCTAATTTTTCGACTTCGTCCTTAATTTTTGCACACCAGTGTAGTGTCGTAATCTCTTTAGATTACTTTATAAGATAGTAGCGCGAGGGATCACACAGCTATTCAATAAAAGACATTTTATTCCAAATTAAAAAAAACAGTATAATCATTTTTAAATTGTTCACAGACTTTAGCTGTAGAAAAGTTGTATTTCAAAGATAATTCATTGCAGCTGTTGCTCTGCCGTCCCCATCACTCAGTTGTTTAGTAGTCTGCTATGAACATATCGTTTAGCTCTCGAGATGCGGCTGTCCCCATAACTTAATCAAGCGTCTTCGAAGAATAACTGAAGTGCGAACTTGTTCAGATCGTCCTCAACTTAGGACCCGACCCATTAAACTCTCTGAGCTAGCCACTTTCACGCCCCCAATCATCTCTAATTGGCGAGTGTAACAGTTTGGCACATGGCTCTCCTCGCTTTAGTCTCACTCCATCGGTGCTTGGAGACAATAGGCAGGCATGTCAGATCCAAACTACAACGCTGCATCTCTTTCAGTATCTAGAGGGCTAAAATTGTCCTATCACATTAACACTGATGGTGTCTCTCTGTCACGACAGGCCTACATTCATTTTCATTTAAGTCATTTGCACCCCACATGTGCGATTGGAACCACGCACAATGGATACTGCTCACCAGAGCTGCTTCCTTCCTATTGAACGTTGAGACTAAAAATCGCCTGGATATTAGATAAAGAAGTGTGGCGCATTAAAGCTGTTTTCGGAACAGGGTCACATGTGTTATTTTCTGGCATGAGAGAAAAAAAGTCGGTTCTTTTTGGGAGATGCAATGTCCTATCAGGAGAGCTTGGTCATCCCACAAGTGAATCTTGATAAGTATTGTTGGGGAGTGTTCAACTAACAGCCGACATTACAGTAAGAATAATGTTTCAAATTTAAGATTTGTCTTCTTTCCAAACAATACTATGTTGTGTGGAAATTATATTATATTAAACAATTTTCTATTGATGAAGTCTTAAAGATGAAACCGGTTAAATATTTAAAAGTAATAAGATCGAATTTTACAACATATTGAAAAGATTTAACAGGGTGCAAGTTACCTATAGAACCTGACGATGTTCAAAAGCAATGGAGTTGCTTCGAAATACCATGTTAGTAAACAATCAATCGATGTTGTTTAAATCCATGCTAATCAAGCAAAATATTCCACAATATTGTTGAACTTACACCATCAAAAGCTTTCCAATCAGTGCACCAGGTCGTTATACTACGAATAAAAGAATAAGCATGTCAGAAGGGGTGGGAAATTTGCTTTGGCTTGCAGGCCGCATTGTGGGAACGGATTATACCAACGGCATCACCTTAAATTAATTGCATTAATTATATATATAAATATACATGTCGGTATAATAATCTAATTTTATATATATATATATATTAGAGTGTTTTTTTTCCAGGTATAGAAGTTTAAGTTGGCATTACTTTCCAAGATGGCGACCGATTTAACAGCTGTCCAGTGATTTATTCTCAGTTTGGTTTGGCAATTCATCAAAACGATCATCAAGCAAAGCGTAGATCCATCGAATGGGCCCAAAACGAGATTGCCGTTTTTCCCGATTTTCATAAGCGAATTTTGTTTAGCGATGAAGCGCAACTCTGTTTGAATGGCTACGTCAACAAACAAAACTGCCGCATTTGGAGTGAAGCTAATCC